AAAGAGAGAAGATGCTTTCTGTTGCCCCCATTTTGGCATAGTCACTTTGGTGATGATGGCAACAGAGAGGAATCCTCCAGGAGATGATTAAGGAAGAGAGCAGTAAAAGGGGAGATGAAATCAAAGTCTGAACTGCTGGGCGTGGCATGGAGTGAGCTAGACGACGAGCTTCTCTTCTCAGACTTCCTCTGCATCTGTGGATCTTCATCATCTCTGTCAGTCCAAAGTGGGAACCATTAATTACAACAGCACACACTTCTTGGAATTTTTTTTTGTAACTGGATACAACACTGCCCTCACGGCATCAGCAAACACCTCCCTGACGCCGTCTTGCTGCAGAGCAGAACACTCCATGTATTTGACTGCCCCGATCTGCTTGGCCAAGGCATTGCCCTGCTGGTGGGTGGTTGGAGCCAGGCCCTGCTCCTTCAGCTTCTTAACCGTTTCTGCGTCGCCCCTCAGGTCCTTCTTGGTGCCCACAAGCAGGATGGGCACATTGGGGCAATGATGGGACACCTCAGGGTGCCATTTGTGCCTAACATTGGCATAGGAAGAGGGGCTGCCAATGGAAAAGCAGATGATGAAGACGTTGGTCTGGGGGTAGGAGAGAGTGCGCAAGCGGTCATACTCCTCCTGTCCTGCTGTGTCCCACAGGTTAAGACTGACAGTGCGGCCATCCACACTCATCTGGGCACTGTAGTTGTCAAAAACTGTGGGAATATACTCTTCGGGAAAGGCATTGGTGGTGTAAGAGATAAGTAGGCAGGTTTTACCCACTGCACCGTCACCCACCACGACACACTTTATGGTCTGCATCCTGCCTACGACCACTGGGGCTGCAGCACCTGACAACAAGATAGAACCTTGTTTACTTCTAATATAATAGTAGTAAAATGTTTTACAATGGAAGTAACTAACATGTAGTCATCAACATAAAACATCAGTGTGAATCAGGCTAGATTTGAAGACTCAGCACTGGCTATGCCACAACATGTTGGGCTAATCTGTGGGCAGCCAATAATGTCATCACTTTGGCACACAGAGGCACACTGCCCTCATGAACACTGTAGTTGGCCAGACAGTGGCAAAAACTTTAAGCAATGGAATAACATTTTGCACTTGCAGAGAAAAAAACGTTTGTATCAGCTATTCATTAACTAACCATAGCTTAAAGAAAGAGATGGGACGCAACAGTATCTGCTTTGAGTTAACAATTATAATCAAAAGGTACAATGTTTTTGATTATGGGTATTTTCTCCTGGAAATCTGTGAACGGGTTAAACTGCTTCATCAACTCCATACTTAAAGTATCCAAACTTGTACATAATACACACTGTAGCAGCACATTAATTTGCTGTACTCTCAGTTGCTTGCAATTTTTACATTTTTGGCATTCTTTTCGCATGTGTGATGAAATATTCGTATGTTTTACCTTTGCCATGAAGACACAATATCAGTTAAAAACACTGTTATTAATGCTTCGTACAATTAAGTTAAGTGTTCAGCGTTTTAAGTGAGGAGATTGAGAGAAATGTTTGTTTTTATTACAGTAAGACTGCCATGACGGTCAATGCCTTAATAGAATTTCTCTAGAATTCGGTACTGGAACCAGTCATTAGAAAGAAAAACAGATTCAGTCGTCCTTTGCAACTTTACAGTAATTCAGTTCTTCACACAGTTAGCAGAAGAGCTAGCCGACTCCGTAAAAGCCTAACGTCGTAAGTAACGGTACATAGTTTAAACTCACCGGCTCTTCTGGTGTTTTAAACACCTGCATACACAACTGTGTGGAATTAGTCGCGAAACAAAAACAACCAAAGCAGCACAAAAATACGCGACTTTCTAGTATAAATTATTTGGTATGGGTAACCAGTGATACAAGGCGTTCCCCTGGTTAGCATCAAGCTAAGGAACTAGCAGTTATGGTGGCTATCGACCTAGCTAGTTAGCAAACAAGTTCAAACTTTTAGCAGCGAACCGTTTCCCCCTCCCCCAAAAAAGTACTACGAGATAAGAAGTGTCGGTAACTATTTAAAATATATTTTTCCCTATCCACATAAACACGGCATTTTATTTAAAATGTGATTATTGTATGATTGTGTCACTTACCGCCACTTGGCTTTCGATCTCTTTGCTTTGCTGCTTGGTCTAGTCAATCACAGCCGCATCCGGGGAGCTGTCCGTTACGTAAAAAGCGACGTACGGAAATAATGACAGCTGGTAGCTGTAGTTTTATTTTTCCGTGGTTTCAGCTGTTATACGTCGGGTGGAGCTGTTGTGCTACTTCTATTATCCTCCTGGTTTATGTAGTAGTTCGAAGAACACAAATATAACAAACTCCACTAAACCACACGATTTGCGCTATGCATTGTACATTTGGCGAGTATTAGAGCATCTAAAAGCCAGAAAAATGATTTGAAAAAAGTCCCTGCAAAAGACTACACCGAAATGAAAGATGCAAATGATGGTATCGTTACCTGCTTTGATTGCAACTGATCGGGATGCAGCAATTCTATATAATAATTTACTTGGAAAAAACCATCAGTTGAAAACCTACCCTTATATTCCCAAACGAGATATTCTTCTATGGATTCTCATTTATGAGGTTTTATTCAATCTACTGGCCTTTGTTAACTTATTTTCTTCTTCTTTCTTCTTGTGAAATGTTAAAATGGTGGCGGTAAAAGTTTTTACCAGTTGATTTTTTTAACCAGTTGGTGGCAGTAAATAAACTCAAAGTCTGCCTGCTGCTACACCATTGCACATACGTAGTGGTTATTACATTCAAATTGGGTTCATAGCACCCCCTGCAGGAAAAAGTAAGGAACCTTCGTGCTCTTTGTATATAAACATTGTCCCTTAGTTGTTTTAAGGTAGACCTATAATTAAAGTTAAAAAGTAGTATGGTAACATATAATGATATATTTTCTTGCTAGCTGTTGACGGCAGTAAAACTACCAACAGCAACAATACATTTTCTGACAGATCCAGAAAACTATGTTCCCATACCTAACACTTTAAATGTATTCAGTGGATTCAAGCCATGGGGTCTCTAGGATTTTGTTAGCCTGCCAACTTCTGAAGAGAGCGCTGAATGTATCGGAACTTCAGTTTTATTCTCTCTTGACCCTGCCACATTCTTGCCATTTATTCCACAATGTGTCACTGTGTATACATTAGTTACACACATACAAATAGACCATAAACAACTGTGTCTTCAGTGTTGTTGATGTCTTTTCTGTATTCAGTAGAAATCAGGAAGGCCCTATATGATTTACTGACCTTTAGTCGTGACACTATCCTCACAGCCAGTTCGTTCAGACAACAGCTAAAAAGGATCACTTTTGACTACTTGAACCTGCACCCCTGGATACCCAATGATGATGTCACCTCTATACACTGAGCCAGGTTAAGAGGCCAACACTGACTGGCGACCGGACACTCAAGAACACAAAGAGGTACCAGTTTATTGGCTTTCCCATGAGGCACTGGCGTCACTGAGGCCTATAAACAGAAAATTCCCACTGAGACCCTCACCCACTGTCACCCTCCACCCCAACCGTTACACTCTACCATTCTGCTTATAGATTCCCCATGACATCTGTAGCATTTCCATGGCAACGGGCACTGACAAAATTAAGGGTGACTGATTTAAGAGTTGTAGGGAGCAGGACTGAAGAGGAAAAGAAAGATGAAGAGAGGACGGGGTCTCAAAAACAGCAAGATGTTGGAGCAAATGTAAATGTTGGAATTTAACTGCCAAGTGCAGTTTTCAATCCACAACAACAACACCACCAGTCACATATTTTCACCTTTAATCGTCTTTTCAATTTACAAATCCACATAATGCAATGAATAACAACCAATGCTTTTCCATAAAGTTACATAATATTTTGATATATTAACAACAATTACAGACATCCTCTGCTCACAGATACTTCTTCAGTTTTTTTTTAAAGTGCATCAGACTGATTAGACCTCTCAATAAGAGGGTTCAATAAAGTACCCAAGTTAAGTTAGGACCGTGAAACAGTCAAGTGTGACACAGACGACCACGTTGAAATATAGTCACATTTTCAGACCTCCTAAAAAGTAATAATTAAAAATAAACTATGTCAGTGTCTTAAAAAACTTCCCGTATGACATTAAATCTGGATGGTGTGGTCTCATAGGGTCCTATTGCCTGCAAAGGACACAAATAAATGCAAAAGAGGTCAGTTTGTGAATCTTTTTTTGTTTTTTAGTTTTGGCCAAACCAGCAGTGATGGAGTATATCCCTGCTGCTCCCTCTGTGGATGAACGCCATGTTTGTAAAGCAAAGACTTTTCGAGCCATATTGTTGTAATAATTTAGAACCATACTTAAAGCAAAAATGATTGACAACAGTTCAATATATTCACACCTTTTCTGAGTTTCATGTGGAAATACATAAAGGTATACAATGAATCAAACTGCACAGCACAGGCTGTATCACCTCCACAGTGGCTGACCTGCAGTAGCTCGAGGAATTTTGGGACCAGGTAGACGAGAAGCTGGTAGTTTAGATCCAGCAGTAGAGGAGCTTGTGCTCTTGGCGGACTTATTACGGGCTGCGGAGATGACAGCAGTCCGTATCGTCTTGGCTGTGGCACAGGATGGACTGTTAGGAGTGTGCGAAGAGGCCTGAGTCTCCGAGTTTGGTGCGAGACGTTTGGAGACACGAACAGGACTCCCTCTGACAAATGATGGCGGCGTACTTCCTGATACCCTCTCAGATACAGCTCTCTCCGAGGACCTTCGTGCTACACTGGGCTTTCCTGGAGTCTGTGGATTGTTTACAGTTCTTTCTCTCGTGCTATTGCTCCGCTTTACTTCTGCCTGGATGTTAGCTGGACGCATAACAGGAGAAGATCGTTTTGATACTGTGCGAGGTACAGAGAGCCGACTGGTTGCAGCTGGGCTTCCATTGGCTGGGCACCCATTTGAGGACTCTGTTTTGGACTGGACCCTGGGAATGCCACTGCTGCTGGAGGATGCCGCCCGCGACACAGTTCCTCTTTTAGGCCCTGTTCCACCTGGCGTGGCGTTCTTCATGGTTTGATTTTCCTTTGATGTTGGAGAGCCCGTCCGCTCCTGATTCTCCACCTTTCTCTCTTTCCTCCACTTGGAGCAGAGGCTCGGTGCGGGTCGTGGAAGTGGAGAAGATGGTGGTGAAAAGGGTTCATAGGATCGCAGGCCTTTCACTAAAGTGTGACACTCTAGTGTTTCACCAACACGGGAGTAGGACCTCCCGGTCTCCCTCTTGGAACTAGGCAGGTCGGAGTATTCCTCTGGTTGTGACTGGCTGAACTCTGGGAGACTCGATGGCATCCAGCTGTTGTCCACAGGCGCAGTCGCTTCCAGTGAATCTGTCTGCTCTGATATTCCCTCTTCTGAGAAAGGCGTCCCTGCACCTGCACCAACAGCTCTCATTGCCGATTGTGCCTCACTTTTACCTGTAGATGGCGGCGACTGGCTCTGAGATTTCTGGTACCTAAACCGCTGAGCCCTGGTGTCACCATTCGAAGATACTCCACTGGTTTGAAGAGTCTCATGTACAGACTCATTGACAGAACAGCCTGTGCGTGACGTTTTACTTTGAAGAGAATAATTATTGCCCGATACGGTCATGCTTGGTGTGTGTATAGAGTTGTGACTGTTAACACATGCCGGTGTATCCGTAGCAACAGAGGCTGCACAGGAGCTGGGAGAAGATTCCATCTTTATCAAATCTGTGTGCTCTTTTCCAAGTCCTTTTGGTTCCTGTTGGTTTTGTAATGCGTAAGAAATGCTCTCAGGCTCCGATTTGATCATGAAGCTACGTCCCTGCTTCGAAATACAACAATTAACAACTTTGTACGACTCCTGAGCTGCTGTTCTGCCCTGACTACTTGTTGGAATGTGTTCAGCCTTGTTTATACCTCTTGAAGCTGGTTCTTGATCAGTGGAGGAACACGTGCTCTCTGGAGAGCTACAAAGCACCATGTTGTTCTCATGGTCTGACGAGAGGTTAAATTGGTCAGAGTTCGATGTCGGGCTACTGCCCAACGCAGGGAAGCTACTTATTATAGATGAAATGTGGGAATGAGCATCACTGGGAAAGTGGTGCGATTGTCTGCGAGAGTCTGAGCTTCTCAGGCTGCGACGACTCCAACTGTAGCTCAGGTTCTTCTCTAAGAGTTTCTCCAACTCGTCCTGCTTCCCCTGGTGATGAGGCTCTGTGGCAAGACCGCCAAGGTCCAGCCCTGTACAGACCGCCAGAGAGCGTCGCTTCTCACCAATCTCACGCTGGCGTTGCAAACGTTTCTGTTCCTTCAATTCCCGCTCTGCATTCTCCTGAAGGAAACACATAATTGGTTAAACATTGGTTACCCTTTGAGTAGGGCAGTTTTCACCAAGAAATCCTTCCACCGATTTCTGGATCTCACCTGGACAGCCTTTTGAAAACGGTGACAAAACGAGTGGAAGACCCGGCAAGCCTCCTCAAGTTTAAAAGTGCTGTCGTCCTCACAGAAAAACTCCACCAGAGCCTGACTCGACATTCTCATACCTTCTACTTCATTCTCTGCATCCTTCAATCGCTCTTCAGCTGTCTGCACATGGAAAGTCAAATTACCGATAACAAACTTAAATGAGAATATTTAGTGTAAACATTTCAGCTGACTTGTATACCTCCAAAAAAGACTGGGAGTGGTGCTGAATCTCTGCCTCATTCTGGATGTTGTCCTTCAGGGACACAACTCTGCTTTTTAGTCTGGACAGATCCTCTAACACAGACTCCTCACACAACCTGCAGGAAATAAAAATAACAGGGCTGTCAATCAACAAATCACAATATCACAATTTGGTCAGTTTGTCAGTCATGGGTATCCTTGTGTTTGGCAAAAGCCTGGAGTCAATGGTGCAATGACATGAATTTAACAGAGGCTGGGATGTCCTGTGGTGACTGCATGTCACCATAATTTAAAAAACAAAACAAAAAAAACATCCATAATGTTTGTTTTTTGTGAAAAGAAACTTTAAGTGTCCTGCACTTTTAGTGTTTACTTGCGTCAAAGAGGTAAACACTGTTTTCTCTTGTGTTTGGGAAGAGACCGACCTGGAGGCGGATCCAACATGACCCAGTTGGCTGGGAAATGACAGTAAACTCTGGTCCTTTTTCACAGCTTCCTGTGGAGACAAACACACATGATTATTCCACTATTGTTCTGAGAAGACACTGCGGGTCACTCGTAAATGTGGTCTGAATCATATGCTCCGTTTTGAAGTCTGCGTGGACTGGCTACTGTTTTGGACACTTAAAAAATACACTGAAATGTAAAGAGTCTTTATCAGGACTACATATAATTTTCTTTGTTTTAATTTTTCTTTATACTTCAATTATATCAGTATATAAACGTCTACGTGTTTTATAGTTCATAGAATTTAAAATCCAGCTCTTACCATGGCCACATAATGCAGCAGATTCATGCCGGGTTTGTTGGCTTTGGTGTCAGCCAGTTTGAGCAGTGATGCGATTCGGAAACCAGCAGCATTCCCTGCATATCCACCCTGAGACAGCACGTTAGAAGGTCAAAATGACATATGTGCACACGACGTGTGACGACTCAGACCAAATGACACAAATACCAGGTGCACAGTCAGAATGACGCCTCTTAACACACGCACCACAGATTGGTGCGTTGTAAACAAATAATCTAAATAGAGACTGACTCGCTGTCAGACTGAAGAAATCCACATAAAAAAACAGACAGTAGCACTCACTGCATTCATGTAGTTCCCAGCTTTAAGGACCAGACGGAGGATGGAGTGCAACTCCGGGCAGCTCAGCAGTTCTAAGAAGGAAAATAATAAATACAGTTTACGAAAAATAGTTACGCTTGGGATTTGTATGTAGAGCATTTGCGAATAAGCAACTTTGTTTTTTAAAGTATATAGAGTGTGAAACATCAATCTGATGTCAAGTTTCCACCAAATGAGCAATTTGTGTTGCCACGTTAAATGGCCTTTGTGTTCAGGGCTCAATTGTTATTACCCTATACAGGGGCATTTAAAAGGGCAAAGGAAACCCAGACCTTTATAGTGGTGTAGAAGTACACAACTCCCCGCTGTTACTTTACCTCTGGCCGCCTCCCTCAGACATCTGGCTGCCACACACAGAGAGGTCAACGCAGGGTCAAACTCCTGTTGCAGAATCATGGCATCAAGACGGAGCCGAAAACTAATGGAAAAGAGTTGGAGAAGGATGAGTGGATGATTGGATGGGTGGATGGATGGAGGAGACAGGTGTGATGACAGAGTCAAAAAACCACATGTGATCAATCATCACCTAAACAACCTCATGTCATCACACACACACACCTCAGTCTGTGAGGTGGACCACCAAACAATCAAAACCAAGAGGAAACAAAGCAATTAGAAATGACTTCTGGGGAATTTAAGGTGTGGTCTACCTTGGAGTTTCCACCAGCAGCAGCATAAAAAGATCAGGCTCTCCCAGCAAGCTTCGCTCACCGCCAAACCTCTTCAGGCGGGACTCCTGGGGGAGAAGAGATACTAAATAAATCCTGGTAAACAACTTTAATTAAAACAAATGGAATTAACATGCTCTCAACACTTCGTCCCGATATGTGTGAAGAAGTAGAAAGAGAAGAGACCACATCATACAACAAAGTGGTGTAATGGCAAACTTTGGATCATCCTAACCAGAACCAGATGATGAGTAAGAACAGAGGGAGGGACGGGGGAGGGGGCCTGTCACTCTTATGTGTGCATGCCAAAAAAGGCAATTTACCTCCTCGCTGTCAGGGAGCAATTTGCAGAGTTCTGTCAACTTCTCCGCTCCGTAACGGTCGCCAGCACCCTGCCTGATATCCTCCACTATCTCTTTAGCAGGCCTGAGGAAAAACAGCCAACAATTAAAGGTTTCTAGCATGACATCAGCGTTAACGTACGATGGACCGTTCAGCCTGAGAAAAAGCAGGACACTCTTTTAGGAAAACCCATGTGGTGAGGAATATCAGCACTTTGTTTCTGACGGTATCTTGCTCCTATCAGTCAGGAAGGGAGCGTTAGTTGTCGCCACACTGTGGCAAATCCACAGGGCAAACAAATAGCAGACATGCAGGGAAGATTAAGGATGTCAAGGTGAAAGTCTGGAAACAAAGCCGAGTGACTGTTTGACCTGTGGCACATCTGTCCCGTATTCTAATCGTTTCCCTTCACCTCAGCCATTCCCCCCTCAGCCCCCGCCCCCACCCTGAAACCCATCACACAGGCTCATGTAGTGCTTGCCCTTTCAAATTCAGCCCATTCAACCGATGGCTTTGAAATTAAACTTTTGATGATAGAACATATACTAGAAGATGGCAAATGTAGTACAATGTTTCTTTGGAAGTGGCTGTTTGTCTCAACAAGTTCTGCTGAGAACAGCATAACAAATGAAGAAGCCTATAAATAGAGCTGCCAGATAATAAACATTACAAAAGAGCAGCTCTGATGTCAATGCAAAAACCACATTTTGCCTAAACTACACCCAGCTCTGTTCATCTAATATCACAACAAAGGACGGGTAAGCTCTCAGTTGCACCAATATTTGTGTACAGTAGAGGACTTTCCTGCTTAATGGCTTCTCTTACAAGTCCAGACAAATCCTGCTTGGAAAAATAAAGCCATTATTCAGTTGAGAGCGAGTGGAAGCATGACGCGCCCAGCTGTCAATCTGTCTGCAGGTCAAAACAATTAGAGATCCATTTTCCAATGGTTACAACAACTTCTTTTAGCAAAGAAAACCAATGCTATTTTATAGTAAGTATACTAAGTAATTAGAGATCAATTTTCCAATGGTTACGACTTCTTTTAGCAAAGAAAACTAATGCTATTTTATAGTAAGTATACTAAGTACTTTTTCTTTTGTCAAATTATGGTATTTTAACCTATGTATAGTTCCTATTGTTTGGATAAATGTTCGCTGTTGTCTAGAATTTTAACATTTGTGGCTAACTCCCAGCTAATTTTGTGGCAATCGTTTCATAATCTACCAATCTCAGCCGATCTTAGCTACATAACAGCTAACTGTGCTGTGTTTTTAACAATCTGAATAACCTGTCACACTACTACAGGTAAAGCCCAGGTTGAGCAATTATTATATCAGGAAACCCTTTTTTTTTCATCATTAAAAAAACAGAAATCCAACATAAAAATCAGTTATTTCAAGCATTTTATGGACTTAACTGAATTCAGCATCTGACCCTTTTTAGCACCAGCTTCAGACATTTTACTGCAGGGGTTCCATGAGACATCTACGGTTCATGACATGCAAACAAGCCAAAGAGGCTTTGGAGAATAAATGTTGACAGAGTGTGTCTTTCTCTCAGCAGGGGAAGTTTTAACATTAGACACTTTCTAAAGGGTGGTGTCAAAAAGAGTCGTCAGGTTAAACAGAGCCACAGGCCTCCCATCGTGACACCCCTCAGCCCAGCTGCTCCTGCTGCATCCTCCCCAGCACCTGTCTCCTGCAATATAATCCAGACTACCTTACTCCTAATGGGAATTCACACTTCACACTCCACTAAATACACAGACACTCGTCCATGTTAGACAGATGACCTACAGCCTCCAGTTCAGTTCAGTACAATCCCCCTGAGCTGAGTTACACTTCTGTTTTCTTTGACTGATAATGACCTGCAGTGGATTCAACAGAAATGTGGACTAATCAGTATCACAGTAACACAACTACTTACATCTTGAACTGGCGGAGAAATATTCCAATGTTCATACCGCGTTTGGGGTCCAACAACGAGATCTGTGAAGAGGCAAAGGAGACTTTGAAGGTGGAGGAAAAACATGCAAAGAATGTCAGAATCTGCACTAAAGTATCTCCTCGGTGTGGGGTCAATAAAATCTTATCTCTATCTCTAGTCAACAGCGGTCAAAATGATCTGACCTCCTCTGAGTTGTCCTGTGGGGATCTGCACCGCAGCAGAGCAGAGCGGCGCCTCAGGGTGCTGGTTCTGTCCTGCGGCTCCACGTCCTTCTGACCAAACAGCTCATCCAGCGAATGGAGATCAATGGGGAACTCATCCTCACCTGTTGCCGCTCCACTCCACACACTCTTCCTCCCCTCCACCTTCTCTTTGGGGATTCGCTCCCAGTTCAGCTTCCTTAGCCGACTCCGACGCACGCTGTCCGATCTGCTAAAAGGTGAGGATGCGAAGGAAGGGGGTGGAGGTGGAGGAGGGGGTGGCGGCGGCGGAGGCGGAGGCGGTGGCGATGGTAGTGGTAGTGGAAGTGATAGCGGTGGAGGGGCGACTAGCACCGGGTCCATGGCCGTCACTTCCACAGCTTCAGAGGCAGTGGTGAGGTTGGCAGGCACTGTTCCATGAAAGGCACGAGTTTCTTTGAAGGCTACGGTCACGTTGATGAGCATAGAGGCAGCTGGGGTGCTGGAGGTGGAGGTGGTAGGTTAACTGCCCCCCTCCCGTCAGTCAATGGGTTTTTCTTGCTCCTTTAATTATCCAAGCAAGTCAAATGTCAGCGAATTATCCTGTCACAGAAAAAAAACAAGAAATAGCCGTGATAAGAACTTGGAATGTCTGATAGTAACGTTTTGCCAATGTCCGATATGTCGATACCATCCAAACATTTAATTTGCAATTCCAATATCAACCGATACCGATATATGCAGCCGTTTGCCCCCAAAACTGAGGTAAACATTTCAAGACCGTACGTGCGATTCCAGCAAATTTTGCGAAACCCAGGCATTTCTTTTCCTCCGATAATGAAAATCCGATAAGAATCTGACCAATATTACATATTAATGCTAATATCGGGCCGATGATATCAGGGAGGTAAAACAGTGAGTAGGTTTCACCAGGTGAAACAGTGAGTAGCCTCCTTGCCTGACAGCAACATCAGTGGTTCAATGGTTTGATCCTCAGTCTTTCTGCACTGATCTCTCTTAATGCAGAGGATTTCTCAAGTACAACATCTACCTTCCACTGGACACTCCACATTTACCACCTAAGTCTGGGTGTGAATTGTTATTGCTCTACATTTGGCCACGGACCAGCACAGTGTGCAGGGTGTACCCCGCCTCTGCCCCATAACTACTGGGATTGGCTCCAGCCACACCTGTGGGCCCAGCAAGGGATTAAGCTGCAGAAGATGAATGAATAACTTAATTTCAAACAATGTTGAGCACAGGATGACAACCGGTGTTGACACTGCTGGAGTTTTGTCATTACTTGCTGAGTCAGGCTGCTTGAGGTCATCGCAGCCTGATGACCTCACCTGAGCTAACACCTGGCCTGACTTCTCCTTTCATTAGCACAATTTCTGAGCACCTTCAGATCTAACTGGTAGTTTGAACTAAAAATATGTAACCTCTGCTTCAACTTTCGGCAGAAGTTCAAGGGAGTTTGGGGGGAAAAAATTAGATGGTGCCTTTTCAACATGCAGACGAACACCTCCACCTCCCTCTGAGGGCAGTTTGAACAGCTTGTCCAATCCTGTTCAGTTTCACTTCACGGCACCACACACTACACCATATAAACCTTCTCCCTTTTAATTAGAATACATAAAAACAATAGATCCTTCAGTTAGGAAATAAATTACAAGATCGGATTTTGAACAAGCTAAGACACATCTTGAAGGCGTTTCCTAGAGTTTAATCGTTATATTTTGAGCAATGAACTGTGCTGCATTTTATTTAATCAGGTTTTCAACCTTGAAGCCTTGAAGAAATAAAGAGTTTTTTTATTATTTAAACCAGAATTGAATGGAAACATGATCAGTCTCCATTAAAAAATTCCAAAAACTGAAGGAACATTGAAAAGGCCTTCAATGTTGTTCTTTGAAATTGCGTATTGAGTAATAATTAAAAATACATTCGCAAAATAGGTTAAATTACATCAACGACTTTAAAGCTGGCTTTCAATTATCACTGAGTTAATTAGAGCCTTTGAAATTATTAATGATCATTGATTACATGTTCATCAATAGAATAGAATCAATTTATAGACAAAAGTGAACTTAAACAACATAAAAGTTTTTTTTATCTTCAAATATTTGTTTATTGTACCGAAAGTTACAATTAGTGCAATGTCACGGTACAATTACAGCCACCATATAAATACCAGCGACACGTTGAGGTAATATACTAAACTTGAAATGGTGTAGCAATAAGAAAACTCTTTGTTGCAGTGTTACCACACAACCACGCTCTTATCCACACTGTCATCAGCACAGTCAAGGGCGAGAGATGAATTTGAAAGAGTTGTAATTCATTGCCTTGTTTGGGTTTCGTTGTAAAATCAATTCATCAAAAATAATGCACAAAACGATGCGTTAATGCATTTAAATCAAAAAATATATTTTAATTAGCCTTCACATATTTTGCCAACCAGGGGTGGCTGCCATCCTGTGCCACCCATTTAAACACGCCACTGCTTTTCTACATGGTGGGGGATTAACATCAGAAAGCCCAGTGCGCACACTTGCACCGGCAAGTTTTAAGCAGGATTTGTAAATCAGCAGGGGGAATGACTCAGAAGTTCAGGTGTCTGGTGCAGATGGATACAAGACGCTTAAAAAAAACACTAAAAAAAAAAAAGAAAGAAAGAAAATCAGAAGGACGCGTTTGGTGCCAAACTGTTCCACGCAGCGCGCTGTGAGCGACTAAACTGCGCCTTCAAACAAAAACATGAGGATATGGAGAGGTGAAAAAAAAAACTTATCGACTGTTGCGGTGAGTCATGTGAAGAGTTCAAAACAGATCATCACTCTGACACATACATGAAAACACACACAACAGGGAAAAGTCATGTAAAAACGATTATTTGGTCTGCGATTGTTGAAGCAATTTTTTTTATTCGCATTTACTCTAAGACTGAATACAGATTTAAAATACAGATTACTAAAGATCAACTTTTCTGTTTTGTTTCTGATTCTCTATAACTTCATAACTTTGCTTCACTCACCTACCCGTGGATGACTTCACTTGTCCAGGGATGTAACGCCAAAAACAGTCACCCGTTGATTTGAACTTTTCGGTGGAGTTTTTTATTTTATTTTTCCGTGTGTTATATCATTTCTTCTGTGGTCTAAAGCCGCTCCGCTCCCATCAGTCCTTTCGTCCTGTATAAACTTCACTCAGAAAAAGTTCCACACAGCTCAGCACGAACGCGCAGGCGCGCTCCCGCACTACTGTATCCTCCCAGTTTTCTCATGGGCGGATCTAAGGCTCCCAGGTGGGTCAGTGTCATTTCTTCACTCCAGTTGTTGATCGTCTTGATTCAACTGAGAATAAAAAATGTCTTATAGTTTGATCACTTGAGGGAGTTTAAAAAGTCCCTTATTTAAACATGTTTTATTTAAAAAAAAATCCAGATTGTTTATTCATATTAAATAATAAATGTAGTATCACAGGACTCTGGCGATTAGAGAGATTTTATGGAAATAAAAAAGTGAAACTATTCCATAAGATTCCATTACAGTGGAATCATCATTGTGGGCAGAACTCTGCCGTGAGATTGGTGCAGACGGCCTTGATCCTGGTAGGAAGAGGAGGATATTGTAAACCTGAGAGAGGGAGCAGATGGCTATCAGACATGGGAAATGATGAACGCACCCCTCCGCACCCCTTACCCCTCACCCCACCCCACCCCAGCCCTGATGATGAACACACCCCTCCGCACCCCTCACCCCACCCCACCCCAGCCCTGGACCAAGAACTGGGCATCAGTGAAAACCAAGAGGTCAGAAGTCCCTCTAGGGTGCTGAAATGGCCCAGGTGGTGGGGTGCGGATCCATAACACTGACCTTTCATCCGAGGTGCTGGAGCATTTTTTTGGCCCATGTCACCTGGTGCTTATAGTCCCAGCTCAGGTAACCTCCTTTCACAGGCGATGCTGACAGGCGGCCGTCATCACTTCTGGGCCTGCGGTAATTAGGGGTTATGACCCAAGAGATCTGGCCATTGTTGTGGCTCCGCGAGCTGTCGTGAGCCAGGATAAACTTCTCTGAGGGAAACTTTACTTTCTGTTCACTCACTCGCTCACTTCTCTCACTACACTGCAACGTCTCAATTCAAGGAAATGCCACTGTGGGCAGATATCAGCTTTTATCGCCTGTGAAGTGCCTAAGAAACGGACACAAAGTCCACACTGTGCCAGGCCCGGTGCAGCACAGCTACTGTGTCAGTGATAAATGTATATTGAGGAGTTAACTTGGCATCTCGCACTTGTTTTACCAAGGCTGCCAAACTGCAGGGAGACAAAACAATCTTTGATGCATTAACTGGCCGCTCACAGACGGTTTCCTCTTTGCATAACAGTGGGCTGCAGAGCTTGCTGTGCCCCATACAGCCGGTTCTTTAGTCTTCTTTAGTGGATGGATTTGCATCAGGCTGCTTATGTGTAAGCCCCGAAATCTGAGTCTGGGTCAGGACGTTTACATGTACAGTTAAGTTGGTTTACCATTAAAGCTGCACCAGGCCACGAAGTCACACTGCTGTTTACAAACATATGAGGGTTGAGGTGAAACCTGTTAGCATTTGGCTAGTTCAGTCTTCATATTGGGCCTTAGTCTAGTGTATTTATGAACATACTTCAATCCTTGAATTGCACTTTCATACCGACTTACGTTTCATATTTTTGGCCTGACAATAGTGAACTACCGTCCATCTTTTTTATGCTCCTCCTCATTGGCTTCACATATGAATAAACATTAGGGGCAAACATGTCTAGAATCCAGATTATGGCCTGTGAATGTTAAGGTCAGTTTTTTTGTGGTTGAACGTAAACAAAGCAGAACAGTGTGTTTGGTTTTGCTAAGTTTTGATTTAATTCTGGACAGTATTTTGATGTCCAGTGGCAGGAAGTGAGTGAGGTCTGTCTGTTTCCCTTTCCTCCTGTGGGCGGAGTTAATCACTGTGATCACACTCACCTGCGTCTCTGCTCATTAGCCTCACTCGTGTCACCTGTTGCCCTGGGTATATATATACACCTCTCTCCCTTTGTGCCTTTTGATGCCTGTGCCTTGTAGTTTATGCCTTGTCATTGGAATGCTTTCAGTTTGTTTTTTTTACCTGATGCTACGTCACTGTTGGCGAACCCTAACTCTAACGCCCGACTTCAGAATGAGGGAACGAGATTTACTTAATTAAAAAAAGTATAGGAAATGCTGACGTAACTATGAAACGCCACAGGTCGAGGACGTCATAAACCCACGGCCCTTATAATAAGAATGAACACAAGCTACAAATACCAAGAAAGGTTCAGGTTCACAGGTTCAGATCCTACGGATGCAGTTAGTATTAGCCCTTTCTTCTGTGTTTCCTTGAAGTCACAGAAGGGTTAGACGAAGCTAACGTTAGCAGCTTCCTGCTCTCTGCCTGTATAAAAACATTAAATGTTATTCGTTACGCTC